TGTTGTAAGAGTAGGTGAAAAAAGAACTAATGGAAGTAGAGGAGTCATTGTAGGAGTACCTTTAAATGTAAATATGAAAGATCTGGTTGAGAATCTAAAGCAAAGAAATAAAGAAGTAAAAGGAGCAAGAAGAATGACTAAAGGTCCAGAGAAAGTTGAAACGGAAACTGTGCTGGTGGAGTTTGAAACAAAAGACGTGCCCAAGGACGTTTTCTTTGTCTTGATAAGATTTAGTGTCAGGGAGTTTATACCTAAACCAGTGAGATGTTTCAACTGTCAGGAATTTGGACATATTGCTAAATTGTGTAAAGGAAAAAGGAGATGTGCCCGATGTTCTGGAGATCATGAATATGGAAAATGTGGAGCTGGAGTCAAACCAAAATGCTGCAGCTGTGGAGGAGAGCATAGCATTGCTTTCTGGGGGTGTGAAGTGATGAAGCAGCAAACAGTTGTGCAGAAAACAAAGGTCATGCAGAAAGTAACATATGCAGAAGCATGTAAAATGGTTGAAAAAGAAAAATCGCATGGAAAACCTATGACAGAGGAGAAACCAGTAATCCAAAAGGTTATGGAAATGGTGGAAAGGAAAATAGATGAAGAGAAGAAGAAGATGGTGACTTTTATTGCAGGAGTAATAAATGCAACAATAGATGTAAAGTCTAAGACAGAAAGAATTCAGATCATTGTGAAGGCAGCTTGTCATAGTCTAGATATGAAGAACATCCGATGGGAAGATGTAACGGGAGAGCTATGTAGCCAAGCAAGTCCAGAAGGATCATGTGGCTCATTTTTATCACAATCCTAATCCTACAGTGGAACGCAAGGAGTCTTTTGTCAAATGGTCAAGATTTTAAACAGTTTATTTATGATCAGGCAGAAAAACCTGATATAATCTGTATACAGGAAACATGGTTGAAGGATTATTTAGACTTTAGAGTTTATGGATATATTGCAATTAGATTTGAAAGGAAAGAAGGAAATGGAGGTGGGTGTCTTTCTTTGATTAAAGAAGGTACTCCATATAAACTAAGTGACAGGAAAGGAGACTTAGAATATGTAGCAATTGAAATATGGATAGAAGGAAAGGAAATAATGATTATAAATTTTTACAATCCCTGCAAAAAGATTGAATTAAGTAAACTTGAGGAGATGGGTATGAAAGACAATATTATTTGGTGTGGAGACTTTAATGCACATCATTCACTATGGGGGAGTGAGAAAGAAGATTATAATGGTAAAATATTAGAAGAATTTTTGGATGATAAAAATCTTGTATGTTTAAATAATGGAGCAAAGACGAGAATAGATATTAATTCTGGTAAAGAATCTGTATTAGATTTAACATTTGCATCTAGCTGCTTGGCTCCATTATGTGAATGGCAAGTAAGAAATAAATCATTTGGTAGTGATTATTATATTATAACCAGTAATATAAGGATGGGTCAGATACAGATTCCTGAAATGGTAGGAGGAAAGTGGATATTTGGGAAAGCAAATTGGGAAAAATATAAGTATTTATGTGAAAGGAAACTTTTAAATGTTCAAAATGATTGGAGTATTGAAAGAATGAGTCATAGCATTTTATCAGCTGCTGAGGAATCTATTCCAAAGACTTCAGGGAAAAATAGGATAAAGTTAGTTCCTTGGTGGAATATGGAGTGTAAAACTGCAGTAAGAGAAAGAAATAAATCATTTAAGCTGGTCAAAAGGTCCCATAACTTTCAACATCTAATTGAATATAAAAAAGCACAGGCAAAAGTAAGAAGTACAATAAGAAGAGCAAAGAGAACATATTGGAGAGACTTCTGTGATACAATTGGTAGTAGGACACAAATAGGGGAAGTTTGGGGAATGATCAAAAAAATGGGGGGAGACAGAAGAGAATGGAGTTATCCAATACTTAATAAAAATAATCAAATAGCAATAACTGATAGAGAAAAGGCTGATATTTTAGCAAGTACTTCTGTGGAAATACATAGTGGGGAAAATTTATCAGATGATGAAAAACAGAGAAGGGAGAGAACTAAAAGAAGAAATGTAGAAACTTTAAGAAGAAAAGAGAATATTAATGAAGATCTGATGAACTGTCCTTTCTCTATGGGAGAATTGAAAAGAGCTTTGGATAAAACTAGGAACAGTGCACCAGGGAAAGATGAGATATGTTATAATATGTTAAAAAAATTAAGCGATAAAGTGTTAGATAAATTATTAATATTATTTAATAAGATTTGGAGAGAAGGTTGTCTACCATATAGATGGAAAGAAGCAATTATTATCCCAATAAAGAAACCTGGGAAAGATCACAGTAATCCTGGAAATTACAGACCAAATGCTTTAACCTCTAATATCTGTAAATTGATGGAAAGGATGGTGAACGAGAGATTGATGCATTATTTAGAATCAAGAAACATAATTACACACTATCAGAGTGGTTTTCGTAGAGGAAGAGGAGCAACGGATCCTATTTTATGTTTAGAAGACGATGTTAGAAAAGCTCAGATTAATAAGGAAACTGTTGTTTCTGTGTTTTTTGATGTAGAAAAAGCATCGATATGTTATGGAGAGAAGGGTTAATGATTAAATTACATCAGGCAGGAATAGGAGGAAACAGGTTTAATTGGTTAAAGGATTTTTTATGTGACAGAACTGTTCAAGTTAAAATAGGATCGCATGTATCACAACAATGTAAAATAGAAAATGGAACCCCTCAAGGAAGTGTGGTAAGCCCCACACTATTTTCAGTTATGATTAATGATATTTTCAAAGATTTATCTTTCAGTTATGGTAAATCACTTTTTGCTGATGATGGAGCGTTATGGAAAAGGGGGAGAAATGTGGAACATCTTATTTTAAAACTTCAGGAAGGGATAGATAAAGTAAGTAAGTGGGGAATAGAGTGGGGCTTCAAATTTTCAGTTGAAAAGACAAAAGTCATGTACTTCACAAATCGGAGTTAATAAAACGTCATACTTATATGGAAAAGAGTAATAAGGGTTGATTATTTTTGTTTTTCAGGAGTAGTTGTTAAGAAAATAACTTGGGGAAATCACATAGATCATTTTATAGAGAAGGGTAAAAAGGTGCTAAACATTATGAGGTGTTTAGCAGGGTTGACATGGGGTGCAACATTTGAGTCACTTAAACATATTTATGTGTCATTAATTCGGTCAAGAATAGATTATAGGAGTGTGGTGTATGGATCAGCAGCTAAAACTCGACTAAATAAATTAGATGACATCCAAGCTAGAGCACTGAGAATTTGTTTAGGGGCAGTAAAATAAACTCCAGTATGTGCTCTACAAGTAGAGTCAGGAGAAATGCCATGTTGCGTTAGAAGAAAATGGTTAATGGTTAATTATTGGATAAATTTGAAAGGACATAATGAAACTCATCCAGTTAAGAAAGTGTTAGAAAATTGTTGGGAAATAGGAAAGGAGCTTAAATAGTTTTGGTTGGATTGGGGATCATAGAACAAGAACGTGAACAAGATCCTTAACAGATGCCAGATGCCCCCGAGGGCGTGCCAAAGACACCATCTTAGCACCAACATAACTGGTTTGTTCCACTTTGGAGTAAGCTGTTTGGGGGAAGAATCTGTTTTGTGTTGTGTTTCCTTGACTGATGAAGCCTTCTGGATGGAAGGTGAAACGTTTCAGCACAAAAAAAGAAACTGTCCAGATGACCTGACTGAAAATTGTTGGATTGTATACCTGTATTATTGAGCATGGACCTTTATAGTTCTCCACTTAATGATCCACAACCTCCTTCCTGAGGGGAGTGGGGCAAAAAGTGTGTGTGCTGGGTGAGTGTGGTCCTTCATGATGCAGGTGGCCCTTTTCCTGCATCTGGAGGTGTAGATGTCTGTGATGGTGGGGAGACTGACTCCAACATCTTCTGTGCAGCCTTCACCACTCTCTGCAAAGCTTTTCTTTCTGCAGCTGTGCAGCCTCCATGCCACACGTTGATGCTGGAGCACAGGATGCTCTCCACTGCACACCTGTAGAAGGAGGTGAGGACTGAGCTTCCCAGACCGGCTCGCCTCAGCCGCCTGAGGAAGTAGAGTCTCTGATGAGCTTTCTTGATCAGGCTGGTGGTGTTGTTGCTCCAGCTCAGGTTGTTGTTCAGGTGCACACCCAAACACTTGTAGCTGGAGACCACTTCCACTGCAGATTTATGCAGAAATATAGAAAATTGTAAAGGGTTGACAAACTTTCAACCACCACTGTATGTACAAGTATACTGGTCATAATCATGTGAGGAAACTACGCTTTCTAGTTTTCATGTTGTTTAAAAGTATCTTCTGCTCAAATGATCTGGATTGTCAAAGAACTAGCTCTTTATCTTGTTTTGTTACTGAGTGCAGCGCAAAGACAGAAGGAGCCATCGTTTCAAACAACCAAAATGTTCTCCACAGCAGCCTGTCTCTGATCTCTCCCTCTGTGCACCTCCTCCCTCCTCTCTCTCCAGAGGGGAGGGAGGAGAACAGGAGCCTAGCACCAAATCTGTGGTGACCAGAAGCGTGTTTGGGCTCCACGCTCCGTGTCTCCTGCACAGCAGCCGGTCTGAGTGCCATGTTTGACGCCTGCCTCCTACTCTCTGGGCCCTTGAGCAAGGCCCTTAACCCCCCACCATCTGCTCCCAAACGGTCTCTCTTGAACATGAGTCCTGGTGACTCAGTGAGACTACCTGTATATAAAAAAAAGGTTAAATTAATAATAATAATAAAACATGCCAAGCCGGTCACTTTAATATATCATTTGTGGGGGTACACGTTGCAATCTGGGCCTTTTCAGGCGGATAACAATGGGCTGTCCCCACTTACCTGCACATGAAATGTATTTAAAATAGAAATGGCAAATAAAGTCGTATTGCAGACAGATCCATTTAAATTCACTTTACTTTTAATTGTCTGATTAATTTGTTTAAAGGCCCCAGTTCACAAACTGCGCATGCGCCGTAGCTCTCCCCTCAGAGCAGGTGTCCGGACTACTTTTATTAGGGGAAGGATACAGTAAGGCTGACACTGCGCCCTCCGTCGTTTAATCGAAAGTAAAGTGAACGAGCGAATAAAACAAGTCAACCTAGAAGGAGAACACACTCTACTCAGCGGTGCCCGGACACAAAGTACTTTAAATCCTGCGGGACTTGTTATTTTACATCATATTTTAAATATATTCATCATGTCAAAAGCTGCAACGCTGAAAATTCGCAGCGCGAGCGCAGTCAAGGTGAGTCGCTCTGCTTTGAGGAAACCTGCTCCGTTCGTCTTTTTTTAAATCAATCCTTTGTAATGTTGCGTTTTGTTCCAGGTTTTAAATGTGTAGCATGACGATAAGTTTGAGAATGGTGGTTTAAAAGGCACAGAGCGGAGGAAAGCCCCATTCTGGGAGGAAACGAAAGTAAACTTGTAATAGTGAGTCAGCAGCTTCGTTAAATAATGATCCTTTTCTTTTTGTTCCCGAACAGGTGGACCACTTCCGTCAGTCACTGTACCAGGAGGTTTGTGTTTCGAACAAGTTCAGTGGCAGTGAGTCTGCAGCCGGATCAGTTTGTTCTGTGCTTTCAGGCGGAGACTCTGTTGTCCAGTGTCGTTCCTCAGAAGATGATTCTGCTGGACTCTCTGCTCAGGGTGCAGCATCTCAACTCAGCGACCTTTGACCTCGAGTTCCTGCTCCTCTGCCTCTCATCCGTCCTGTCTTTTGTTTTTGCTTCTTCCAGGATGATGCTCTCAGCATCACAGACATGTCTTCGCTCCAGGCTCCATTGGACATCCCCATCCCAGACCCTCCGTCTCCAGAAGACGAGGTGACCTGCTGACCCTTAACTTCACCTGCCCCATGAGTTCAAACCAGTTTTATTATTGTGGATGGATGTGTTACAGTGTCTTTATGACTCTAATTCAGTGAGGTAGATTGTGTTTTTGTTCTCTCCAGAACAAAAGGTATTTTAATAATAGCTAATTAATAGTTACTCAAACCTATTACTAACCTATTACTAACATATTTCTAACCAATTAATAACCAATTATTAACCAATTACTAAACTATTACTAACCAATTATTAACCAATTACTAACCTATTACTAACCTATTACTGACCAATTACTAACAATTACTAACCATTTACTAACCAATTACTAACCAATTACTAACCAATTACTAACCTATTACTAACCAATTACTAACCAATTACTAACCTATTACTAACCAATTACTAACCAATTACTAACCAATTACTAACCTATTACTAACATATTACTAACCAATTACTGACCAATTACTAACCAATTACTGACCAATTACTAACCAATTACTAACCTATTACTAACATATTACTAACCAATTACTGACCAATTACTAACCAATTACTGACCAATTACTAACCAATTACTAACCAGTTACTAGAGCACAAGGATGAACTCTTAACACCCCCTATTTTAACAATAACTTGTTGCTTTGCTTTTATTCTTGTATTAAGGCACGGGTGTCCAAAGTGTGGCCTGAGGGCCATCTGCGGCCCTTGGAGTGGTTTTATGTGGCCCACAACTGCAGTTTGAGAATGGTATCATTTTGGCACCCACGCCTGCCTCCACCCTCATTTGCCCCACTCTGGGCCCTTGAGCAAGGCCCTTAACCCCCACCATCTGCTCCTCCGGGCACCCTACATGGCAGCTCTCTGCTCCACACAGAGGGCTGTGGTAGCTCGGAGCTCTGCGGTTGCGTCAGGAAGGACATCCAGCGTAAAAATAATTGCCAAGTCTTCATGCGAGTTAGTTCGCTGTGGCGACCCTGAAGAAGAGAGCAGCCGAAAGAAGAAAAATAACTCACCAGCTCTGCAGACCAGTAGCTCGGTTTTGGTCAGGCTCAGTTCCAGTTCAGCAGACCTACCATGCAGCGACGAAGCCCACCGCCCCGTCCAGGTTGATGTGCACGTAGATAAGTGAGCTTCAGGAAGAATCAGGATTATTTGAGACGTTCCTGCCAGTTCTGTGAACTTAATAGATAAGTTGTTACTTCTGACTTTGTGTTACAAAACTTTCCCTCCATTTCAGCAGAAAGCAGCAGCCGAAAGCACTGTTGGCTTCTGGGTAGTGTAGTTCTTTTGTCTTACGTTACAGTGTAGGCTTATTGAAATAAAACTACAAAATGGCGGCGCCTGTCCAAAGTTTTTTTTTGTTAACTTTTTATCATATATCGTCCCGATCACGTGATTAATGTCTTCCAGGAAATGGAGACTGACAAGAACGAGGATGATAAGAAGAAAAAGAAGAAAGGTAGTTTTATTTGTTGTTGTTGAAGCTGACTGGAACTGTGTGAGCAGGAGGTGAAGGTCACTGCCGTACTTTTTGTCCCTCAGCTCCAAAATGTGGCTTCATCAAAGGAAATGAGAAAATTATGCTGCTTTTGGAAAGAGTGAAGCCCGAGATCGTAGCTCTCAGAGAGACTATCATCATAGTAAGTGAACTAACAGCTGACCAAATCTCTGCCCTGAAAAAATCACAAAATATTGTTGAATATTGGAAAAATAATCCATAAAAAATGGGTAATTATATTTTTGTGATCAACCTCCTGCAGGTGTCGAGCTGGATTCAGCTCCTCATTCCCAAAATAGAAGATGGAAATGATTTTGGAGTTGCCATCCAGGCACGTTTTTTCTTCTTCTTCTTTGCTTGAATTTTATAATTTCATGCTGTTCGTCTAACTTTCATTGTTTTAAGATTTTCCTCCTCGTTCTAACCACAGGAGAAAATCCTGGAGAGAATCACAGCCGTGAAGACGAAAGTTGATGAATTTCAAACCAACATCAACAAGTTAGATACGACCAAGTTTTCCTTTAACGCACATTCTGCTTTGATGCAAAGCTGCATTTTTATTTTTGTCAGTTTTTAATGACTACTGCAGGACTAGTAATTATTTTCATCAGGGAAATCTGATTCAAGCTGTCTGTTTGAATTCTCAGGTTCTTTTCAGAGAGGGGGGACGCCGTCGCCAAAGCCTCCAAAGAAACTCACGTGGTGAGTGGTGTTGTTTTATAGATATATCCCGGGCTTAATCTGTAAATTAGACGATGCTGGGACACAAATGGGGGGGGAGGGGGTTTTGAATAAAGTAGATGCCATTTACCCCATTCTAATATATATTAATGGGTTGTTAAATGTTTATGTACATTTGTAAATACTTGATCCAATAACTATTTTAGAGAGCAACAAGAAGTAGCCTGACCAACAGCTCTCCTTGTGTGAATAGAGCACGCACCGCTTCTCTCAAGCATCCCCCCCCGCCTTCATGCAATTCAATTCTGGGTTGTTTAATAGTACAGTGAGGTTTTTTTTTTTTAAATGAAAGTAAATTGGACTGCCTTTTTAACATTTTGATTGCTGTTACTTTGACAAATTAGAGCCGTTGTTTTGAAACGTGATGTAGCTACGCTACATTACCCATCCAACATTTCTCTTGTATTTTTAATGAATAATCAAAATTTTAGTAATGACCCACTGATTTGCAATTTAGTTGTGCTGTTTGATTATATTTGTGTTTTTAATTACATTGCCCATGACTGTACTTTTAGGGGTGGAGATTTTTAGAAGCAGAAATGCTTACTTGAAGCTCTTATGTGATATTAGGAAGTTTGTTGTGTTTAAAATGAGTGTTTATGTAATTATTTTCAGATTACATATCCAATATAGGTTTTATTCATTCAAGGCAGTCAAATCTGTTCATAATTTTATTATTAAGTCTGACTTGATCCAAGCAGTTACCAGAACGCACCCTGTCAAAATAAAAGAATTCCTGGATCCTGTTCCAGAAGGATCCAGTTCAAATTAAGCCCTGAACATATCTAATTAAAAAAAAAAAGTAAAGTTGTTGAACTAAACCAAGATCAGCGAGACACTCAAACTTGGTCTGAAACGTCCGTTCACTCAACAGTTTTTTAAAGTGCAAGTCTTGTTAGAGCACCAAAAGTGGAATTGTCCCTCTAAAAATAAAAGTTTTGCTTTAATTTGCACAAAGGAAGAATCAAAGTATGTTCATTGAGTTAAACACTGTTGGATCTGGTGTGTTTTAAAGTAACAATATGAAAATCCAGGATCTTAACATTCCCACACCTCAGATTAAAACCTTTAACTTGACCTCTTCTGCTCTCAGATGGATTACCGCTCACTTGTTCACCAGAAAGATGAAGCCATCTATTCTCAGATCAGAGTGATCGTTCTCGACATCCGTGGATTCTATGTAAGTCCAACTCGCAAGTCACCAGAGTACGATGAAAAACAATTTTAAAAAAGCTCAGAAAAGTTTCAGTTAAAGAAAACATTTCCACACCCAGTGAGAGAAGTCAAGATACTGGGATTAAATAAATGTGGAGCTTTGAGGCTAAATAACATCAATAAAGAAAAAGTTCAACATTTGTGAATGGGAAAAATATCATGGGCTTCGAGCCCAAATCAGGAGAGCTGGATACGATGAATCTCCAGTACAAGCGTGTACGGAGCTCTTGAGAAAACTTGAATTCTTCTGAGGGAAGACTCTGCTGGGAGAGCGGTGGAGATTTATTGTTTCTGCTGACAGCAGGTGGAACAGGTTGTGTTCGTTTTAGTAACCTTTCTGTGCAGACTCCGCTCCTAGCTGAAGAAATGCATCGTTTTAATAAGACAGTAGTCCCTCACTTATTGCGGGGGTTACGTTCCAGACACCCCCGTGATAGATGAAAATCCACAAAGTAGGAATGCTATATTGATTTTAGTGTATGTATGTATGTATATTTTTGTATATGTATGATATATATGTATATACCTGTATATATACATATACACATAAGGCTTTATAAACCCTTCCCACTCTTGCAATATTCTAAACTCTTAAACCTATCTAATTTTAACATATGTATATGTACTGTACAGTACTGCCACATTTTATATGGGTACTCACCAGATACTGCAAGTTGAAGGACAAGTTCAGATTCAGGATCATTTGAGACTTTCCTGCCAGTTCTGAGCTTCATAGATGGATCGTTACTTCTGACCTTGCGTTACAAACTATTTTTACCACATCAGTTTCTCTGCTAGTGTTTGCTCCCTCCATTGCTGTTCTTTGACTTTCAGCAGCCAGAAGAACTGTTGGCTTCTGGGTAGTGTAGTTCTTTTGACTTGCGTCACAGTGTAGGCTTATTGAAAGAAAACTACAAAATGGCGGCGCCTGTCTAAAGTGGTTTTTTTTGTCCTATTGATTGATTCCCGCTCCTGTTAACTTTTTATCCCGCACCGTCCCGATCACGTAATATTAAAGTTGACGATCGTGTGTCGTGTACAATCCTACGTTGAAAACACGTGAAAGAGCGAGTCCGTAAAGTCAAACCACAAAGTTTCGAGGGAATACTGTACTTAGAAGTGAAGGGTGTGCATTTAAAGAGATTTGATTTTAAAATCCGACACAGCCACTAAAAAAAAAAAAAGTTTCCTGTCACCTGGCTTTCGGTAACTACAGTCTTTAGGAAATCAGGAAAATATAGACTTGCCATGAGAGATGCATCATCCTTCAGTGGTTTAAAGAATCACCCTGTTGGTGTTTTTGAAAAAACTAAAAGACAAAACTTCAACAAGTCTGAAGACTACTTTAAAAAATTACTAGAAAAGCTGTTCTTTGAAGCAAAATCCAGAGGGCTGGCTGAAGACTTGTGCACAGAACTGTAAATGAACATCGTTTCCACTTGTTGTCCGCAGGCCGAGCTCTATGATGTCATCCACAAAAACCTGGAAAAGGTGACCAATCCAAAAGGAGAGGAGAAGCCGTCCATGTACTGAAGCTGCAGAGCTCACGCTACAAAAACACTCGAGTTTGACGTCTAGTCCCATAATAATCTACTTCATCTACTGGACTTTTCTCGCTGTTATTAAATAGTAACGCGCCCCTTTTCTTCAAACTTTTGCACTGAATTAAATTTTATGACGGTGAATAAATGAAATCTTTTTCCAAACTTTCAGATTTTTTGATTTATTTCAAACTGAAATCACTTTGTTTTATAAGACATGTCGCTTCTTTCATTTTACCAAACAACGAACAAAGAATACAAAAAATATTTTACAGTTTCAAAAATTTAAGAAAACAAAGAGAACCAGCAAAAATCTGGAGGTGGTGGTGGGGGGGGTCACACTTCTGGCCCTTCTCCACCAGGGATGAGCTGCAGGAGAAAATATTCAGATTAAATTATTAATCCGGGCGACAGCTTGAAGAAAGTGAACCCGTTCTGGTTTCCTACCATGGTGATGTTGTTCCCGTTGAGGAGGATCTGGTCCAGTTTGGTTATCCTTCGTCCCTCTGGGGTGAGTTCACTGGAACACAGAGATGAAGTGAAGTGAGCTGGAGGAACACGCAGGCCGGGCGGAGAAAAGCAACGAGTGAACTTACAACTCCGTCACGTCCTCCAGCACCATGTCTGCAGCTCAGAGTTGAGGCTCTGACGTGGGAAAGCGTTTGAAAATGATGCATCTGACCTTTAAAGAGGCTTTAAAAAAGGATACTGACAAAATCATCGAACCCCAGCAGGGTCCCGACTATTTCTTTGTCGGTCTTCATGACGATGTGAATTCGAGAGCCGATACATTTGTCCACAAGCTCTGAAAACAACAACAAATACAAATTACATCATATCCAAACCTTTTTTATCACCAAAACGCAAAAGGAAGCCAATAATGATTTTGCCTGTGTCTAATAGCAAAAAATTTCATGCACCACTGGATGAATTGTATTGAAAGTCCCAGAAAGTATTGATAGGAAGTACAATTACAACTGGTCAACCTCTAGAGTTAATTAAAGATGGCTGCCACAGCTGATCAACACTAACCATCACATAAACCTCAGTTAATTTGACAGATATTCAGCTAACGTTTGATCCAGCAGCTGAGACACCAACTTTGACAACTAGACTGAGAGAGATCTCACAGTGGTGCGAAACATCCATCTTACGTATTTATTATCTCTATTAAGTGTAGAACCACTCGACTGAGGAACAGCTTCTACCCTGAAGCTGTTAAACTCGAGATGATCACTAAGAAAAAAAAGAAAAATCACTGTAATGCCACTTTAATTGGTGATATGCGACTCATCTGTGCTGCTGATTATCCATGCTGCTGATTTCTTGCCTTTAAGCTGCTGTATTCATACCATCTGCTCACTACAGACTCATGTTCAGGCTGCTGTTAATACACCGTATTATTTTAAATTATTAGTGTTTAGTGTACATCTTAGATTCTTGCATACCGTTTATTTTTGTACTTTATATCTTTGCTATTTTCGGGTGTAACTGGGACCTTGTGTACACAACTTGGTTCCACCTCATGTACCACAAGCAATAAACGATAAAGAATGTTGGTCTTCGAGGTTTGATCAGAAGTACTTCTCAACACGATGATCTTTTGAACAGCAACAGGCAATATGCATTTTTAAGAAAACTAGGCCTTTAATTTAGGTGCATCTAAGAACTCAACGTCCAACTGCAAACAAAACTAAGATTTTTTAAAGCTAATTTCATTTATTGTGTGTTCACTTCCTTCCACCAGATCTTTTACCAAGTTATAAATAATTCTCAACTTTCCATTCAGTTTCTTTAAAAGAAAAAAATCATTTAGTTATATAATGTTTGTCTCTTTTTCTATAAATTGTCAGGTTTATGAGCAGCTCTGCGTCACTGCTGCTGCACGGGTGCAGTTATTTTTCCTGTCGTTCACCGTCACATGATTCAGAGGACAGCGGTGGAGTCTTACGGTTTCTGCTGACAGCAGGTTGAACAGGTTGTGGATGGCGGTGGGTGTCTTTTAGTAACCTTTACGCTACGTGCAGACGCACCTCTTAGCTACAATACATTGCTTTAAACCTTTGAAGTGTTTAATTAGAAGTGAAGGGTTTGCATTTAGATGTTCGATTTTAAAATCTGACATTTGAATTCATGCTTCACTCTAAAGAGAGTCCAGCCAGTAAAGTATGAGCCTTTTAAAATGTAAGTTTCCTGTCACCTGCCTTTCAGTAACTACTTCTTCTATCCCTCCTTATGACTGATGCAAAAAATGTCTGGTGTAGAAACAATCAGGTGTTTTAAGAAAACACCTACAGCTGATGAAGAGTATCACTCAATGATTCTGAAGCTTTCTACGACCCTCTGAAAGACAGTTATATAAAAACAGACTAAGTAACAAAGATACCTTCTGTTAACAAAGTGTATTCAGTAAAAACAGTTAATAATAAAACATATTGCCTGCTTCAGTTCATGTCGGAGTTATGGACTACAATCCTCTTACAATGAGAAATGACAGACATTTTAAAAACAGTTTAGCTTCATAGGATCTCATGCTCAGAGTACTGTATGTGTGGACTCTCAGCTACTACCACACACTAACTGAATATCTGTAAAAATTAATAAATGACTGAGTTACTCATTTTAGTGTTGGCTGAGGTCATTTGGTTGTTGAATTAGTCAGACTCCCAAAGTTAGTCAGTAGAATATGTCCACCCTGTGATTATGTTCTCAAAATTGTATTAAAAACTGGTATTTTGCTAACAAGACTTTGTGCACACATCGCTTGAAATGTGTGTGCACAAAACCCACAAAATTTTATTTCAAAATCTATAAAAGTGACAGTTATAATAAAAACAAGCAAACAAAAATGCACACAAACAAAAAAAAAAACATTATTGCCCTTTAACCTTATCCTGGAATAGTAATGGGTTATATTCTGTAGACTGGACAAATCAGTTGCACTTTTTGCTCAGATTAAAATCAACATTTGTAAACTTTAACAGGTATACCGATGTTTAAGTTTAATAAAAATGAAAATCAAAAACCACTTTCAACCAGCTATTTTATTCTGCACTTACACAGGTTGGCCAGTAGGTGGCGGTATATCCAATGAATCATGAAGGTTAATACGTGTGTTTAGTGCAGACTCGTGCAAACAATGATTAAAAACGAGGAATTGCTTCAAACTCAGAACTGTAAATCACAGTAAAGTTAGAGAAGACATGCTGAACTGTAAATCACAGTAAAGTTAGAGCAGACATGCTGAACTGAAATAGCTCAGCTGTAATAAGTTTACAAGACTTGTCTCTACTCCACTGTTTTCTACTCCTCGGCTCATCGTGGCCGACTTTGACTGCTACCATTTACATTTGAGCACCACTTCCTTTAGATAAAGGACGAAACGTTTCAACAAATAAAAAAAGAAACCGTCCAGATGACCTGACTCAACTTTGTTGGATTTAGTTTCAGATGAGTCTATTCATTCGTGCTGCTAGACTCGGCTAAAGAGCCGCCGGCGTGATTTTACTGCTAAAACATCTCCACATTTGTTTTCTACGAACGAGTTCAGGACTTCCACGTTCTGTTTTTGTGTCATTTCTAAACTCTTAATCACATGAAGCAGAAAAGCGCTTTGAATTAGAGGATACAAACCCAGCGGGAGCAGCTGCGATGGATTTGTCGTTTGAGTGGCCGCCATGTCTTCTTCAAGAGAGTCCCGCAGACACAACCAATCGATAAAAGAGCAAAAACACATCAGGCAGAAACAATCAAATCCTGATTCCGCGTATTTCCGGTTCATTCGAAATGTTTCGAACAAATAAACGACAAAATATATTACTGAATTAATTTATTTAATGTAAAAAGTAAACGTATTAAATGATGTTATTTTAAGAAATTTCAGTAGCTGGCCCTGGTTGGCTCTTGGCTCTAATTAGTTTAATTATTTACTTTTATTGATTTTAATTTGTTTATATGGCATGGACAAAAATCACAACTTGGTAACAAATAGCCAAATTAACTTAAAATCCAGTTACAATGCCAATGCCCCCCCAATAAATATAGACTCAATTTTATTTTACAAAAATGAGAAACAAAATAAACCAGTCGACTTGTTAGAGACTGAACCTCAGCTAGATGATGTTCACAACAGGTGGACATTTTTGCATCACTCTCTCAGTCTGTTGGAGATAAATATTAACTTTATGACTTGAGTTGTGTAATATGTACAAGTGCAACAGGCTATATGTATCCTGGTATTGTTGTGATTGCACAATACTATCATTTGTTACATAGTCTTATGCATTTCTTTTCTTTTAAACAAGCATGCCATGTACTGTGTATCTTACTAGTACCAGACACGAAAGAGCACAGATCACTGTCTCTCCTGCAATGGTGACCGTTCTGTCAGGAAGGGACTCAAGTGTAAAACACTTTTGCCAAAACAAGCGTGTGAGTTCATCCAAGCGACACAGTAGCACAATGGTCGAAGTCCAGGTAACAACCACCGGTGCTGTTGACAAACAGTGCCAACAGAAATCATGCTACCATTAGTCGAGAACCACAAGGAGGGGAACGCGCCTTAAATAAGTGAAAGAAAAAAAAGAGTATGGAGGAAATTCAGTGAGCTTTGAAGGTGATGAAGAAGAGGAAGGCAGTAGGACCTGATACCAGTGGAGGTTTGGAAATGTCTAGGAGAGATGGCAGTAAGGTTTTTGACTCAAATATTCAATGGCATGTTTGAGGGTGAGAACATGACTGAGGAATGGAGAAGAAGTGCGCTGGTGCACATTTTTGGTGATGTACAGAGTTGCGGGAACTAAATTAATGAGCCACATGATGAAGATCTAGGAGCGAGTTATGGAAGCTAGACTTAGATGAGAGGTGACTATTTGTGAGCAGCAATATGGTTTCATGAAAGTCAGCCGTAGTAAGACGGTACATGTGTATGAACGTGAAGGAACAGTGAAGCTACAAGGAGCAGGGGTCATGAAGGTGCAGGACTTCAAGTACGTACTTGGGGTCGACTTGTCCAGGAGTGTGTGTGAGTGTGGTAAAGAGTTGAAAAAGAGTCCAGGCAGGGTGGAGTGGATGGAGAAAAGTTTCGTGATTTGTGACAAAAGGGTGTCAGCGAAGGTCAAAGGCAGTAGTGAGAACATGTATAATCACGTTGTGTAGTTGAGAGACAGATACATTGTTTTCATTCAACCTTTATTGATACAGGTTAGACTCATTGAGCCCCGAGGACTCATTTACAAGAGAGACCTGTTTTAACAAAGTGATGACAACAGTAGACAATCATAAAAAAAAGCATAAGAATGAAAACATAAATGGAAGAAAAT